CAGGCAGCTGGAGCGCGGCCCGCTTTGCAAGGAGCCTGGGACAGGGAGGCCTGGGGAGATGCCGGAGGGGAGAGCGGGAAATAAACAAACCAGCCTCAGGGAAGCTGGAAGGGGAGGCGCCAGCAGGGGGAAGCTGCTAGTTCACGGGAAACGGGACTCCGCTGCTCCCGGGCCTGGGAGTTCATTCCAACCGCCCGGGGGGGGGATTGTCCTGCCCAGCCCCCTGCACAGGGTGGGCAGCAGTGGGAGGAGGCGTCTCCGCAGAGTGCACCAGGGATGCACGAGGCTCCTGCACGCGTAACCCGGCGCACGCCTGGCATTCTGCTGCCTGAGGCAGGGGCTGTGCCAGCCCGCGGTGCCCCCCCGAATTCTGCGGGCACAACGCCAACCGCAGCCTCTCGGCGGGGACCTTGCTGCTAGGTGGAACACACCTTGTGACACTGATTTTCCTGCAGGCGCCCGGGTACCCACCCAAGGCATCTGCTCCTGTTGCTCTGGGGTGAGAGGCCAGGGAATTACCCCAGCAGCTCCTGTCCCTGCTGTAACGAACCCCCCAAGGCCTGAGGTTCCCCACCCCCGGCATAGACACTGCCCGGCAGACAGGGGCAGGATAGCTCAGTGGTTTGAGCGCTGGCCTGTTAACCCCAGGGTTGTGAGTTCAATCCTCAAGGGGGCTGTTTAGGGATCTGGAGCAAAGCAGGGGTCGCAGGGGACTGGACTCAATGACCTCGCAAGGTCCCCTCCAGCTCTATGAGGTAGGTCTAGCTCCATAATATGATAAGACAGGAGGGATTTTCCATCCACATTGTTAATCCACCTCTCGGCCTTGCCGGTCTACCCCTGGGGGAGCTCGACCTGGCTAGGCAGCACGAGGTGCAGCTCACGCACCCAGCGTGTGGCACCGAGACCACGACCAGCGAGAACCTGGAGCCTACTCCTCAGCTGAGAGCCAGCTGGCTGCTAGCACTGAGCTCCGCGGTCCCAGGCTCGGTGCTTTTCGCTGCCTGTGGCCAGGGGCGAGGCTGATCTCACAGCCCAGCTGACTTGGGCTCAGGCTGAGGGCTACAGACAGCAGCGTGGAGGTTCCTGCACAGTCAGAGCAGGAATTGGAGTGCGGGACCCAGAGGGGTGGGGCTCAGAGCCACGGTGGGAACCGCTGCACAGCTCCTCTTAGCCCTCTTGCAAGGCTGGGCGGGCGGCACCGGGGTGTTCTTGGCAGCGTAGACGTCCTGCGTCCGCTCCGCACCGCACCCCACACAACAGGACCCTGACCTCAGCTGAGGGCTCCAGCGGCCCCCCACACAAGGACATATTTATCGTACAGCACAACGGCCTCATGCCCCCCGCCCCGGGCACCTCCCAGACCAGCAGGGCTGCGCACGGCTACCTTTGCACGGATGGCAGGTCACCAGTCCCAGGAAGCCCAGAAGGCTGATCTTGTTGCCTGGCTGGGTGTAGTTGGACCAAGCGACGTCCACGTTGCTGTTGCTGCAGCACTCCTCCCAGGTCACGCCCGTCTTGAGGATCATGGTGCATTTGGCTTCCTTCCCCTGCTGCAGCCAGCAGATCCCACCTGTCCGGAGAGAGGAGCCCATGAGACCCGCACGTGGGAGGCCGTGTCTCCCCACTGGAGCCACTGCACGTACCGGGTAACGCTCGCCCCTGGGAGAGCCAGCCCGGAGCCTCGGCACCACTTCAACAGCGCCGAGCGCGGGAGTCCGTCCCCGCCCGCCAGGGCTTCTGGAGGCCTGCAGCCCGCCCGTCCGCCGGCCAAGGCGCCACAGTGCTCAGCCCCGGGGCCATACGCTGGATCTGGAAAAGGTGGGCGTGGGCATTGCCATCGCGTGCGCCAATACAGGGCGCTCTGGAGCAGCACGGCCTGCAGAGCCAGGGGCAGCAGCTGGCAAGCTGCCTGCAAACGTCTGGGTGTGAGGAGGCAGTCTCTGCACCCCCGCTGAGCCAGACCCGACTGACCCTCCGCCACCTCTGGCACCAGGTTCTGGGAAATGGACGCGGGGGAGAGTCAGCTGCGCGCCCACACCCCCCGCCGGCCCCGCAGCTGGCCCGAGACCGGCCTTCCTGGTACTCCAGCCGTTCAGACGGGCTTGAAAACCAAGAGGCGTTTCGAACACAGCAACTTGGGAGGCGTCTCGTTTGCCCCCGTGCCACCGCCCCCGGCCAGGCAGGTTCTCAAGCGGCTCAGCAGCCACCAGGGCTGGGCGCTTCTTTAGTTCAGTTTAGCAGGCGTCTGTTCGCATTCCCAGGGAGCCAGGCTGTGGGACGTCCTGCAGGCACTGAACAGCCATCCCGTCCCAGCTCAGTCCGAGCTCCGGATCTGTGGGTTTCAATCTGGGATAAGAGTCCAGGCTCTGGGGATTCCCAGCCCTGCCCCAGTTTACTTCCCCCTTTCCTAGGTTTTCACCCTTTACAGCCATTCCGAAAAGGCACAGAGCATCCCAGCCAGACGAGTAGAGGCTGGGAAGACTTTGCGCCTCCCTGGCCACCAGCGGGCCATGCCAGGGATGCCCGGGTGCCGTGACCCCAGTGGGGCAGGCTGCCCTACGTCCGCGTGCAGCACTGCAACGTTCCCGGCTGCCCCGGAGGAGCAGGCGTGTGGGACGTCAATGCCTTATGACCAATCGGCGCTGCAGACAGTGCCCTGGGAACCAGCCAGCCCGTTGGCATCGGATCTCCCTGAGTCAAAAGCCTGTTTGTTTCTCCCTCTCCCGAGCGAATCATTTCTCTTCTCTCCCTCTTTGTGAGCGAGTCCTCTGCCATTTCCGCCCTTGTGAGCCGGCTGCTTGCTTTGTTTTCCCAGTCGCTCCATCTGGACTGAGTGAGACGTGGGGGCCAGTTTCCACCCCCTGCCAGGCAGGGGCACAGCTCGAGGGGCGGAGCCGGCGCAGAGAGGAGAGGCTGGGGCCCGCCCAAGACGCGCCAGACTGGCGGCG